CCCCTCACAGATGCGGCGGGCCCCATGTTTTTAAAAAAATGCGGCTCGTGGTCCCCACTTCCAAATGTGAGTCGGGTGTNCCCCACTCCCAAATGTGAGTGGGGTGTAAAAGATTAAGTAAAAAATTATGTACATGTAGCATAACCAAAAAAAAAAAAAAAAAAGCAAAAAAAAAAGAAATCTTGATTCTATAAAGAAATTGTTTCGCTGGAGCCTTCCACAGCCATATATTTAAAGAGTCACACAATTTGTACAATCGAAGTTGACAACCATTCACATGGGGGGCCCACTTTTTTTTTTTTTTTTGAATTTTTTAAACATACAGACCATGTACACATGTAAGAGGTTGTCAATCAAGATTTTAAAAATAGAATTTTCCATATTTAAAAACTCTTATAATTAATACAGTATAAATTTGTCCAGTATTATTGTTTTCGGTCAACTATGTCACTGAGTTGTAATGTTCCAAGAAAAAATGGTGACCTAATTAATTAAAGGGTGAATTTAAGTAGGACTAAGCTTCAGTGCCGGGAGGGTGTGACACCCCCCTGACAGAATACACACATTTGGGGGGAGGGGCTTTTTTTTCATTTTTTTATTTCAGCCGGGCCCCACGTCAGTCCCACCAGCTTGTGAGGGTCAGTCACCCAGGTGGGTGACCCTTTTTTGGCAGAGAAGCTTTTTCCATTTAAGTAATGCCCTCAACCTTGGGTCAGTGGGGGTGGAACTAATCTTTTAAAAATGTGATACCGCCATGTCCCGATTAAAAGGGTAAAATTGACCAAAAATATTTATTTTATTTCAAAATAATCCAAACAGTGAATTCAACTTTTATTCAAAAACTTGAATGAGTAATGCTATTTAGTCCACTGGGGTTACAACCCCAGTTTAGATGATATTAATGTGGCATTAAATGATATGTGAAATTAAACAAATCATTTAATTTCACATTGCATTTAACCTATCATTTAGAGCCAACTAAACTGGGGTTACAACCCCAATGGGGCTACATAGCATTACTTAACTTGAATAGGGTAAAATTCCTCAGAGTTCGTGAAACTTCTATTCTTGCTTCAACCGCCTCAACATCACGTGAGTATCATGTGATCATATGTTCAAATATACACTTTCTTTTAGCTGGTGACATTAATACTACAATATTATAGGTTGGGGAGATGAAAATTACACTTACAAAAATGTGGAAGAAACTTAGGGTGTTTTTTATTGTCAATATTTTCCATGAAAAATGTATTTTTTTCCATCGAATTTCTTACTTTTGTGCCATTTGATCGATAATTTTTTTCACGAAATTTATTTTCCTACTTTTGATCACGTGACCATATTTTCCTTGAAAACAATAAAAATATTTTCTTTAGAGAAATGTGACTTTCATTTTTTAGGTACTTCACTCACTCACTATCTCTCTCTCATCTACCAGTTAATAAAAAAATGAACAAGTATAATATTTTCTACGTTGAAAACTAAATCGATCAAACATATTTAATTAATAATTATCATGCAGATAATTTCTATGGAATTAATTTATTTTTTTATTCAAAATTTAATACTTGCAATCAAATGCACACTTAGTGGGATTTGCTCTTAAATAAATTAAAAAATTACTATAGATTTGATAACTTATTTGAAATAAGAAATTGCCTTGTTTTTTTCCCAATTCATAGTGATCAACTTATAAATGTATAATATATTAGATATCACATCGAGTGAGAATTACTTTTGGACGATTTTAACTTTACTACAATTTAATTATTTCAATAATACATTACTTTTCATTTTTCAATATGTAATACATACTACAAAATCTTTATCATGATGAATTTCATGTTATTAATTCTCAATTAATTAATATTAATATTAGTCCAGACTTAATGAATCTTGACTTGATAAATCTTTTTATGCATGAATCTAGAATTATTATAAATAAATTTATTGTTATTCATATATCTAGAAATTTCAATGAGTGGTTAAATTCATTTATTAGCAATTAATTCATATGTACCAAATATAGTATAAAAAGATTACTCATTTGTAGTATTTCATAATCATAAAAAAAATTGAATTTTAAAAGTTAAGTTTTGGAAGTACAATTTTTTCTCTTAAATTTATTTCCTAAATTTTATTTTCTTTAGTTCGTTTGAGACTCATCATATCTCCCCAACAAATTGGTATCAAATATTACTTTTACAACACTAATAAACTATTTTAACATAACGTACAATACATGTTCAACTCTAACTAGTATTTATTAAAATTATCTTGTCCTAATTCACCTGGACAATCTGGCACCCGTGCAAACGTTGAACTTGTACTTACAATGCATGGTATTAATTGTACATTGTTTGAATAAAAAAATATTTTATACAAGTGGATCTCATCCCCATGTGATTGTGATGTACACCTTGATGTACAATTCTTGATATACAAGTAACATTTTTGTTATTTTATTGTGTGCATGTGTTATTGAAAATGAGTATGTAAAAAAATCCAAATAAAATTGTCTAACAGGGGCTAAATCAATTTTGGTGGTTCAAAAATTGATTTACATGTTAACGAGAAATTAAAGTAGAAAGTAAGTTGAATAAACTAGGAAGATGGAATTGGAAATTGGAGGATAATAGAAAAAATTTCAATGTCACAATGGAAAATAGAAGGGAATGACACTTGGTGTTTATTTGATAAAATTTTGTCAATTGGTCAAACTTTAATTTTAAGATTCGATGTGTCAAATACATATGAAAACTTTAAATAGGATTATAGTCCCCAATTTATATGCAACTTCTCATTCTCTGTATCATTCCTTCAACACAATAATTAATAGAGAAAGTATATTGAAAAAGAAGATCAAGAAACTCACAATCAAGAATTTAGATTACAATTAAGAATCAAGAAAAATAATTGGAGTAATTAAATTGAAGAACAAGAATATCAAGATTATAGAGCAAAAAGCAAAAATCAAGATCAAGAATTTAAGAACCAAAAAAGCTAATAATCAAGATTCAAGATTCGGAATCAAGATCTAGTAATAAGAAATTATTCTAAAAGGATTAAGGTATGTTCTGCACTATTAATTTTCTTGATGATTTGACATGGAAAATCTTGACAATTAAACAATTAGCTTTTCTAGTTTTATAAAATTTAAAGTTTCATAGAGTTTCAACAAGTGGTATCAGAGCCAACTCCATGTTAAACTATTGAGATTCAATAAAAAAATTTTAGGGTTGAAATTCATACTTTGAATTTTTCGATTTTGGGACGTAAATTTTAACTCTAAATTTCAAAATTAAAGATTTTTATACTTAATTGTTGAATTTGCGTACGAATTTAATTGATTATCGTTATTTTGAATTAAGTTCTGCAAAAATAAAAAAATAAAAAGGACTTATGGTAACAACTCTGTCTGTTTGTATGATTAAGCATGTGCATTAAAGAAAAAAAAAAGGAAAAATTCATTGTTGAGTATGATGCTTGTCACATCATTACTTGATATTTGGAATATGTGATACTAGACAATCATTTCCATTCATATTTATGGTGACTTTTTGTTGGAATATGTAATTGGTATTTTGTGGAAAGAAAATTTAGAATTGTGATTGCACATTGTTGTTGGATAGTAAAGGCTGCGTTGGGGCGCCACCTGTCCAGCGCCCTTCTGATAAACAAAATAAATAAATATAATCAAAATATAAAGGGGGCAATCAAATTTCAAATTCTGGAACTGAAATTTATTTCGAATTATTAATTTTCTAAAATAGATTAATTGAAACAACATGTGATATGCACTGATACAAGTGGCTCTGTGAGTTGGAGCTCATGTGACAAAGTAAAGATTTTAAGTATAATCATCGTGTGGGATCTAAATTGCAAATTGTGTGAAATGACTGAATGCATCCGCTACAATGCAACGGGGTGGACATTAAAGAGTTATGTACCATATCGAATGTGTACAATGTGGGTTGCACAATATGAAGTATTGTGATCTAAGGGTTGAGATTGATTGTACCAAATAGTATACTCACTTATAAGAGGCACTTAGAATTCTATAAGGGCATATACAAGAGACCCCTAATTCCAAATTTCCAATATCAAATAAATTGATTTAAAAAATTTTTTGCTCTCCTCAAAATTCTATCCAAATTATCTTCTAAAATAAAAATATGTTCGAACAATTCAAAGTTCGTGTTTTATTCCGTTCAAGAAAAGTAAGTTAATAAATTGGTTTGACGATAAAGTCGGTATGGTGTAATAATGACCTTGAAAGGAGCGTTGTATTTTACGAGATAGATGTTCGAAAAATCATGTTGACACTAGTACATGAGGTGGAATCTATTTAAACAGATTTGATATAAGTAACATACCTCGTTTTATCTCCTTCCGTCCTTTTTCTTTTAATGGTATGGATCCATATTCAGCAACAAAATTATTATTTGAGACATTGAGAGGGGCAGCTGACCCCTCTATCTGCCCATAAGTAGTGATCAACATGCTTACGAAAAAGTTCAAATCCAAATATTCCCCGATTTTTTCGCTTAAAACGAGCTTCTTTTTGTTTGCAGAATATATAGAGAGAAAAAATGAAACAAAAATAACGCTGTAAAGTGGAGTCCGAGTATGGCGTATGCTTCCAAGAGAAGAAAGAAACTTCCAAAAGACACTCACTCTCATTGTCCCCCTCACGTCATCTTCCCCACCCCACCTCCTCTTTGCAGTAGAATTTGTTAATATTAGACTGTGAATATGCATATAACAAATCCAAAATTAATTCTTTATTAATGTCCATATCGCACTCTCATATCATATATATCTATTGCCACCCCCTCACCAATCATTTATTCTATTCACAATTCCACCCAATCCCCAGCTTAGCCATTCTTACCCTTTTCAACAATGTATTATCACCATTTATGATCAGTTATCAAAAAATAAGTCCTTCGTTAAGTTCCAATTCATTAGTTGAATAAATGGTGTAAAACCCAATAAATATGACTCGACTTTTCCGATCCAGGTCTTGCACAGTCACCGGCTTATTTGCTGCCAAATCAATGCCGCCTGAAAAGCCCTTCTCCCCTAATAGTACCTCCGTTTATGGAGACGAAAAGCCGGAGGGAGACGAGGACGAGGGATATTTCGGGGATTTCTTTAGTGATGGGGAGTTTGAGAATCCGGTTACGACGCCGTTTATAAGCCCGGAGAGGAGGCATGGGCGTTGGGTCAAGGGACAAGGCCGAAATGAGCATAATAATAATAATCAGCAGTTCTCGGTCCTGGCGATGGTGGCGACGGCGCTGCGGCGGTCGCTGGTGACTTGCAGTGTTGATAGGGATCATGTGGCGTCTGATGTGGACATCGGGTGGCCTACCGACGTCCGGCATGTCTCACATGTCACCTTCGACCGCTTCAATGGCTTCCTTGGACTTCCGGTAGAGCTCCAGCCAGACGTCCCCCGTACACCTCCCAGCGCCAGGTTTATATCTTTCCTTTCTTACTTTGCTATACAGAGATTTGGGTTTTAGTTGAATCTGGATTTTATTATTATTATTATTATTATTATTATTATTATTATTATTATTATTATTATTATTATATTTTTAATTTTTTTAATTTTTTTGTAGGATCCAGAGTATAATTGTTGTTGAATGATTTACTTATGAGTTGTCAATATTGTCTAATTCTTCCTCCAGATTTGATTTATAATGAATTTCGGTACAATTTTGTTGTCCAATTTTACCTGAAGAATTGCGAAGTGCTTCCATTAACAGATAGTACGAGTGCATTAATTAGAATAGAACAGCTTCCATTGGCTTCCTTCAAATAGATGAGAGAGATTTGTGCTCTTTGTTCAACTAATTTTGTCTTACGGGCACAATACTGTTTGGACAGACAATAAGCAAGGCTTCCTTCGAAGATTAAGGAGACTATTGCGACGTGGAATTATGATTATCCTATGCCGAAATGCCTATCTGCTGTCAAATGACATATTGATTGCACTGTTTAAACAAAATTTTTGCTATTTGCAAAGGTGATTATGTGTTCTAAATTAATTGAGATTGGTATGGCTAAGGCAGAGCCAACTGGTCCACACTGTGGCAATAATACTAGGTCCTTACATGGACGCTGGAGGAGACTGTTATTGTAGAAGTGTTAAATGAATCTGAAGTATTCTCATATGAAGGACAACATTTAGCCCCTGTTTGAGCCCCATTTTTTTTGGGAAAAAGGTGCTTTAAAATTATGATTTTTTGGAGGATGCGTGGTTAAAAAATATGGAAAAGTTTTGAGTTTACGTGTAAAATTATTTTATTGGAGAATATGTGGTTGTAAATGAGTTTTCATAAAAATGTGGCTCAAACGGGGGCTTAGTGTATCAATTTATCTCTTAAACTAAACAAATTGGAAATTTAATAACTGTTCTCGATTTGTTTGTTGTGTCTTGCTTGCACCTGTATTTTGATGTGTAGTTTGTGTGTTTGCATGTATTCGTCTATCTACGTGTATACATATGCATGTCCTAGATTTCAGTATCCACTTACTAGAATGCAAGTCCTGATTTTTGCCTTTGCCACCCATCATGTTTTCAGTGCAAGTGTTTTTGGAGTTTCTGCACAATCAATGCAGTGTTCTTATGATGATAGAGGCAACAGTGTACCAACTATTCTTCTTAGGATGCAAAACCAGTTGTATTCAGAAGGCGGTCTTCAGGTATGCATATATTTTTTTATTGGGAATTTCTTAATTGTTATTGGCTTCAATTTTCATTGATTAATAATGTTTAAAATATTTGGTTGAAGGCAGAAGGAATATTCCGTATCAATGCTGAGAACAGTCGAGAAGAAATTGTCCGAAACCAGCTTAATAACGGGGTTGTGCCTTGTGGAGTTGATGTTCATTGTTTGGCTGGGTTGATAAAGGTACCTAGAGAAACTCTTGGTTAAATATTCTTCCATTATCTCGAGGAGAATTTTATGAGATGAAAGTTATTTATTCTTAAGTTGATATGTGCACAGGTTAGCTGAAATTGATGAAGGTATGGAATGGAATCATTCTTAATCAGATGATGTTCTGTTGAACTTATATGAAACAATAGAGTATGGGAAATAAATTTTGAGAAGGAATTATATGAATTAGTTTTAACACACTTTCCATTGGATAGGTTGTGTTTCCTGGCTGTATTATCAAAAATTAAACCTTTCATAACCTTATTAGACCAGCCTTTTCACATCCTGTAGCCATATATACTGTCCACAGAAGATGCCATGAAACTAGTTGAAAAATGCTGTTTTTGATTTTAGTTCTATCCAAATGACAATGAGTTTCTTACAATTAAAGTTTGTATTCAATATCAGCTTTGGGTTGCCCGTGACTTTTGATGTAATTTCTTACCTGCTTTCCGGTTTGCTATGCAGAAGTTGAGTTTTCCTTCACACTGAAATACCCTATTTATAGCTTAATGATTGACTAACTCCTATATGATCTAGTTGTCAACTGGATAAATTGGTAATCATAGTACAGGGCTAGAAAAATCCTTTCTTTCTTCTGATGGATGATGCTTTGTGCTAGTAATAACTGATAGTAGATTAAAGCAAAACAAACTGTCAGTGACTATTATTTGGTACTATGATTTAAATGGTTCAGTGAAGCTGTTTTGTGTGCTATAAGAATCGAGAATTATCTCTGTTTCATAATGGTTGTCAACATGATTGCTTCAGTAAAGGTTCTAGAGCCAATTTTCTGGTTGCCTCATGATTTCGTAACTGTGATCACTGATGAACATTTTCAGGCATGGTTTAGAGAACTTCCAACTGGAGTTCTTGATTCTCTGACCCCAGAGCAGGTTATGCATTGCAACACGGAAGAAGAGTGCTCCCAGCTTGTAAATCTGCTTCCACCAACTGAAGCTGCATTGCTTGATTGGGCAATCAACTTGATGGCCGATGTTGTGCAAAATGAACATCTAAATAAGATGAATGCACGCAACATTGCTATGGTTTTTGCTCCCAATATGACTCAGGTGCTTTAGCCTTCTCTGCATCTTACGTTCTTTCTTTATTATTTTTGCTTCATGGGTCTTTTGAGTTCAACCGGTTAGACCAAACTCTAGCTGTTTTGAGGCCTCAGCAAATTTTCTAGCAATCTCTTCCACACCTAGATTTTTGTGACATGGTCATTCTGCTTTTGATCTTCAGATTCTTGTAATTGGGAGTGATATTTTTCTAGACAAGTTATTGTATCAGATGAAATAAGGAGGAAATGACATTTTTAACACTTCTATTATGTTATAGTCCACCTATAGCTTTGCATGTGCAACCCGATGTGAGAGGGTGCGGTATATGCGGTGGCTTGATTAGTTTTTGTTGTGTACTAATTTTTTGAACTTCACTGAATTATAAACTTACGGATAATCAATATGGTTTTTGAATTGATGCAGATGGCCGATCCATTGACTGCTTTAATTCATGCAGTCCAAGTTATGAACTTTCTCAAGACCCTGATTACGAAAATTCTTTGTGAAAGAGAAGTATTAGCTACCACCGATCGATTATTCTCAGCATGTGCTGATTCTGCTGGCAACGTAGGGCTTGACCACAGGTCAAATGCAACTGCAATGGTCATGCACGAGCAGGCTTGTGATGATTGCTCATGTTCAACATCTGCTTGTGGCAGCCTCTTAAGGAGTGCCACTTTGGAGAGACTGGAAGCTGATAGCAACAAGAAATCTTTGAGATTAAAGAGTAAGAGCGATGTTGGTGTTGGTGTTGGTGAGAAATATGAATCTGTTGCAAATAGAATCTCACCTGAAAAACGCAAAAGAAACTCCCTAGAGAATAGATTTCGAGATGAATATGACAATGACGAAGTTGAGAGGGTATTCAATAGGCTAAGTTTGAGAAAAGGAGTACGAAAACTGTGCAAGCATCCTGTATTTCAGTTGAGTAAGCAAGTGAAGAAACGTAGCAGCATTGGAACTGTAAATACTCGAGAAGGAGGTGCAGAAGCTTGGGCATACGATGGATGCAACTCACACACAGGTTTGTGTTCTGTACAGGCTGAGTAAATCTTACGAAACATCTACCAGAATAGGTTTGTCTGTTGTTTAGTTAATAATCTAGTTAGATGAAGCATTTGAAGGTGTGTTTTAGGTACTAACTGCAGTTTTAAGTTGGTTATTGAACTGTACAAGGATATGCATAACAATAATTCCGTGCCTACGAAAAATAAAAAAAACTAGTTGGAGACACTTCATTCCATTATTAGATTCCAAAATTCTTTCTTATTTTCCTCAATCATAAAATTCATTGTTTCTCTCACTCAACTCGACTCCAAATCGACCGCTAATTCGTTGACATCTTACCCACGAAGATTGTCACTATCTCCTTTGCCTCATTTTTACTAAGAAAAAGATCCAAATTGACCAGTCATTTTATTTTTCTCTTTCCTTTTCTTCAATCGAAATGGGTCTCACATTATATTTGAACAAAAAATTTGTGAGGAAAAAAAAAAAAAGGAAGAGGAAGATCGCGATAAATTATTGTTTGTTAATTGACATGAAAAATGTAGAAATTCTCTTATTTTTTCCTATTTATTTAATGGATTCTATCTAATTGTTGTTCGCGTTGAAGCAATGTTTTTATCTATTAAAGTCCTCATCTGTATAAATATTAAAAAATATATATAATTTCTTTGTGAACCATTTGTTAATTGATTGTTAAATAAATTTTGGGCACTATAAAATCTGTAAATGTGGAGGAGTAGATAATGATTTTTCATTATGTTTCTTCGTCTTGTATGATTTTTTTTGCTTTTTGCTAATTTTTATCTCCATGTTTTCATGCATTTTCAAAATTTTAGAACTACAAATATTGAAAATATATAGCGTTAACACGTCAAGATTAGAATTTGTGGTTCACTTTTGAATCGGAAAAAAATAGAATTTTTGAAAGGACGAAGAGAATTTCATACGGGTGTAGTGTAAGTGTTATGCCCTAGGTCCAATCAACTTTGGACATAAACACTTTGAATATATATAATCAATGCATATATATGGCAATATCTATTATTTAATTGAATTAATATTCTAATAAATTAAATAATAGAATCCGTAGATTCAAGTCTTGGTGATTTGTTAATCACAAGGAGTTGT